GGATATCGGAGCACGCGAGGTTGAAAGCAGGGGAATCACACCAAAGTTATGATATTCTGCGCTTTGGGGAATTCGCTAAGAAATTGAAAAACAAATTGGAACAAGAACAACAATCTAATTCGTAAATTAAATATGTTGATGAGGTTGTGATGATATATTTTTATATTTGAAGGATTGTTATACAAATAGTATAAATGTAAGGTTTTTAAAATAAATTCTAATTATCATTTTATAAGTTATCCACCCTCTCCCACAGTGGTNTGCGAGTTGCGAGCCTCTTACCCACCGCCGTTCAGCCGCGGTTATCCACCCTCAGCTGCCGCCGTCCGAGCCCCAGTGGACAGCAGTTGCGACAGTGGTTCGACCGTTGCGAGCCTCTTACCGCCGTTCAGCCGCGGTTATCCACCCTCAGCTGCCGCCGTCCGAGCCCCAGTGGACAGCAGCTGCGAGCCCCGGTTCATGATCGTTTAGCCGCCTCGAACCGACGTGCCTAGACTGTCGAAGATAGCCTCAACTAAATGCACCAGCAAGTCGCCGTGTGTTGTAGAGTGTCAGAACTTTCGTACAGCCCCTTTCATCCTACCGTCCTCGCATGTAAAGGTGAATTTCGAGTTTAGGATCTGAAAAGGGCTCTACGAGAGCTCGACAGTCTGCAACACACAGTAGGATCTCTGCAACACACAGTAGGATCTAGGCGGATCTAAGCGCATTTTAGTTGAGGCTGTCGGGGCGCAGCTGTCTCCGACAGTCTAGACTGTTCACGGTTCGAGGCATCTAAACAATCACGAACCGGGTCCGCCAACTGCTGCCCACTGGGGCTCGGACGGCGGCGTCTGAGGGTGGATAACCGCGGTAAGAAGTTCGCAAAAGTGGTTCGCTGCTGTGGGAGAGCGCAGTGGTTCGCTGCTGTGGGAGAGCGTACGGAGATCTGCTCAGGGATATTCTCGCCCACGGTGGATCTCAGCCGTTGGTGAACGGACTGAGGCCTGGCGGGGATTGTGGGCTCGCGAGTTGGTGCCGGCGAAAGGAGGTGGCTACTCGACCGGTTGCTCGCTCGTGTCGGCGTCAGGCCGCGCGTCTCCGACAAATCTCGGCGCGTTGCTGTGGCGGGGCGCTTCACGGTGGATGCTAGTCGAAAGAGTGGAGGGCAACACTGGTACTGCAATTCGTCTGATGCGTGCGACGGGCGGACATCGGCGGTAGGAAGGCTTCTCGCGGTGGTGGACGGACGTCAGCGGCCTTTTCGCGGCGGCGTGCTCCTCCTCGGCTGGGCCGTTCGACTGCGCGCGATGGGCCGTTGCGAGACGCCGGCGGTTGCTGATGGATGGCAG